TGTGGTCCTGCTGGGTTGTGAGCGTGCCCCCAACCGAAGTCTGCATGGAAGTGTGATATATTGTGCAGAGTTAGGGGACAGGAGACTTCCTCCTGCTAGAGGTGGTCCTTTGGGTGGTGGTTACCAGGAGAGCCCTCCCTAATGGAGTCCTTGGGGCATCATGAGAAGTGGCAGACCAGAAGAGACGAGCACCTGTGTGCTCCCATTCTTGTCCTGTCATGTCCTGTGCTGTCTCAGGACTCCGTCAGCAAGGTCAGCTCTCCCTGTGGGCTCCTGAACTCTGAAGCTGGACGCTACATAAGCCCCCTTTTTAGTAAAGCTACCCAGCTTCGGATCTGTCACTGGATTGATGAGAAGTGGGCTACTATAGGAAACTTGCCAAGGAATAGAGATGCTGCTATGGAAGTGGTGGTGCAGGAGGTAGCATTGGAGCTGGGTTATTGCAGATGTGGGAGAAGGCAGCAGGAGAAGGCCTAGTGTGCAGCGGACCGGGGGCTCAGGGTGACTCCGCAGAGGGCTGAGAAGACTGGAGAAACTGGGAATGGAGCTATCAACGCTGTGCTGATTACATGGGGGCCAAGGAGCTGTGACCTTGCCCCAGACTTCCTGCAAGGAGTTGGCCTGGAGGCTCAGTGGAGACAGGCCTTTAGGATGAGTGCTGGGGAGGGATGGGGGCTCTGGAACCACCAGGGAGGCAGTCATTGTGTTTTGCACAGTGAGAGGGATGGAAGCCGGGCGCTGTGGCTTCGATGTGGGGTCCAGGGTTCAAGGATTGCGGTTGACAGGCAGGGACTTGATCTAAGGTGAGGCTGTCGGCAGGTAAGTAGGATCATAAGGATAGAGTCCCTCCCTATTGAAGCCAGGTGCTTTCATACAAAAAGGGAGAGAGGCCAGAAGACACACAGCATATGCCTGCATCCTGCCAGGTGATATTCTGTTCAACTTTAGGATTTGCCAGCAGCAGAAAGGGCTTCACTGGATGTGGGTTCTTGAGCCTCCAGGACTGAGAACTAAATAAACCTCTTTTCTCTAGAAGGCTTCAGGTATTCCACCAACTCCTGCATGGGAGCCCTTGTGCACTGGTGCAGTTTCGTGTCTGTAGACAGGGGGTGGCAATGATCATGCAATGCTAGGAATGTGCCGAATGCTGCTGGACTACTGCACTTCAGGTGAAAGTTTTACATAAAACAAAAACAAAACAAACCTGGTTTTGTGACACAGCAGGTTAAGCTGTTGCTTGTGACACCTGCTAATTGTGCCTGGGAGGGCAGTGGAAAATGGGTCAAGTGCTTGGGTCCCTGCCACCCACGTGAGATACCCAGATGAGTTGCAGGTTCCCAGCTTTGGCTGGCCCAACCCTGGCTGTTGCAGCCATTTGGAGAGTGAACCAGTGGAAGGAAGTTCTCTCGCATTCTTTCACCCTGTCTTGCAAATAAATATTTTGTTTTAGAAATGCCAGAAATCCACTATTAGATAAGAAGATATCTTACTGTCTCACATATTGATAAGGCTAAGGGGATCAGGGACATGAGGGGGTGTTGAATTCAGGGCCGTGTACCTGCAAAGGGGTGACGGCCAACAATGACCTCTGAAATTCCAAATTACTTCCCTATCCAGAAAGTTCCTGAGGACAGTGTGATGAGCCCAGCTTGGGTCACATGCTTGGCCATCCTTGAATCTGACCTGTGCCAAGGGATAGGGGTTCTGGTTGAATAGGGCTGCATTTCATGCCACCTTGGAAGAAGGGGTGGACACCCTGGGCAGTCACCCTCAGTGGCTACCACCATGGCTAATGAGACCAAACCTCCAGAAAGACCTGGAGCCCTGGGGCAAAAGATAGACAGGAAACTTCACGCTGCAGGTTGGAGAGCAAGGGGAGGGGAGGAAAGCCTTCCCAGGCTGGGAGCCAGAGAAAATGTAGGAGTGACCAGGCAGGGGCATGGCAGGAAAAGTTGTCCTGCTGGAGGCTGGCACACTGCAAAGCAGGTCATAGAGGCCTGTGTGTGACTGCAAATCAGTGAGCAGCCTGGCCTTGAGCTAGCATGGGCTCCCAGGGCACAGAGACCCCAGGGTCAAGGGTACTAATGGGGAAGGCAGGTATGACCCCCTTCCATTCACAGGAAGGCCAGTGACTGTCCTGATCATGCCTTGAGGGAGGGCTAGACCTCTCCTGTGGCCCAGCTTGTGTGTGCCTGTGGACTAACAGTCTTCCCTAGAACACAGGAAACACAGGCCTGTCTGAAGAGGAGTGAAGGGCCAATCACAGTGCCAAGAGGTATGGGGAGGCACCAGAGAGGAGAGAGGGTGGCTGGCTATGCAGAGAAGGAGAGTTGATCCTCTGTTCTGGAGATAGGCAGGGCTCAGGTGTGCTCTGTGGCTCACAAGAGGAGAGGGTGCTGACCAAGGGGATCCCTCATCCCGAGCTCGAATCTGCTACTTGTGGCTTAAGTTCTCAGTCCCGGGTTTTCCACCTGTAAAATGGGGGTGCTATACCTACCTGCAGGGTTTCCATGAGCACTGAAGATGGTTATATCCATCCTACATCTCTGCAGCTCAGCAAACTGAGGGTTTGCAGTGTGGCGCATTTACATCCTAGCAGTCATACTCCTGCCAGTTCTTACATGCACACAGCTCGCCTCTGTCCACCTGCTACCCTTTTGCCCTGCAGACTACAGGGCTGCTGAGAAAAGTGTTTGCTCTTAAAAGGTATGCATAAGGTTTATTTTGGAAGCAGGCTCAGAGAGTCTTCCAAAAAATGTATGTTTGAGAAGTACACACACACACACACACACAGAGCTCTTCCATGCACTGGTTCACTTTGCAAATGCCTACAGTTGTCAAAAGGTTGAAGGAGGGAGCCAGAAGTGCAATCTAGGTCTCCCATGTGGATGGCAGGATCCCATTTACCTGAGCCATCTCCATTGCCTCCTGGGGTCTGCAATAGCAGGAAGCTGGAGTTAGGAGCTGCTCTGGGAATTGAACCCAGGCATTCTGATGTGGGCACTAGGGTTATGTACACATCTTGCAGGGAGCAACCATGAAACAGAACAGACCAGCACCTTAGAAAGAGGTGCACTCTGCAGAATATGAGAATTAAGAGACGTGGCCCTGATAATAACCCATCTCACAGCATTGTATTCTGGAAAGTTAAAAGGGAGTTAGGAAAACTTTCTGTGAGCCAGGATTTTCATGCCAGCCAGTATGGTTTATTTTAGAAGCAGCTGTCCTCTGGAATTTTTTTCCTGTGTGGGTTTTGACAAGGCCTGTGCTTCTTGAGCAGACCTATGCTCGACTCAGCCCCTGATGAGGTTGAATAGGTCAGGCTGGGACCAAAGAATCTGATGCTAAGCAAGGTGAACTGCTGAGTTAAGGAGGGAAAAAGCATGGGAGGAAATTCTGATACATGCTACAGCATGGATGAATCTTGAAATTAAGCAAAGTGAAATAAACTGGCCAGAAAAGGCCAGATACTGCATGATCCCACCAGTAGGATGTCCCTGGAGAGGTGGAATCCCTAGAGACAGAACTTAAAAAGGGCAATTGCCCTGGGATGAAAATGGGGGATGCATGAATCTTGCACAATTCCCATGTAGCCAGCTGGCCCCCAGGGATGGCACTGAGGTGAGGTCTAGGGGAGGTTTTAGTTTAGCAGGGTATCCTCTTGATGAATGAAATTAGTGATTATAGGGTTTGTGGGGGGGGGACTGTTTGTTTCATCTCCCATCAGAGGACACACAGCAAGCAGCATACTAGAACAGGCTCACACAACAGCCCCAGTCTGCTGGTGCATGCATCTTGGCCTTCCGAGTCTGCAGGTGGGGAGTGCTGCACGTGTCCTGTTGTCAGTCCCCCCACCCTAAAGCCTTTGCCACAGCAGCCTGGCTGGAGTCAGGCAGGGAGTGGGGATGCAGGTTTGTGAGACGGGCAGGCCTGGAGGCAGGTGGTGGTGATCATTTGTGTTGTGAGCTGTGCACTTGATGGTGATGCTGTTTACATTGTGTTCATCTTACTACAACTTGGAACCTGGAAAAATAACCAAGCATGGGCTGTCTGGGGGCAAATTGCTGGCTTGGGGAGAGCTCAGCCAGAGAGCTGGTGAGGAAAGGAGCTGTGTTGTGTACTGCACCTGGGGAGCCAACCTTGGCAAAAGAGAGGCTGTGGCCTCTAAAACAAGGTAGTGTGAGGGTAAACATAAAGCTGGGGGCTGGAGCCACAGCACATGTCTGCCACCCCCTGATCTATAAGGAGGTTTCTTGAGAACGGGCTGTTTGGGAAAACCCTAGGATGCCAAACCCATTTGAATGGATGTGCTACAAGTACAGGCCAGAACCATGGTTTGTGCAACTAAGTCCTCTTGGTCAGTGCACTGAGTCACAGTAGATCCTCACTGCCTCTTCCCTACTCCAGAAACAGGACAACGTCTTTGAGTGGGGGACACCTGCTCCTCTCAGGGAATAGGTTCTTTTGCTTGAACCCCAGTTTTCTCATCCACAAAATAGAGAGGCTGATGCTGATGCTCCTCCACCTTTAGGGTTTTTTGGAGACCCCATCATGGTATTGCTTATGCAGAGTATTAAATACATCACTTGCCCAAGTCACTGTCTCCTTCCCTGGCATGTGGTCAAACCTGGTTTACATGCTCACGCTAAGGCACCTGCCCTGTGTGTTCCTGCTCCGACATCTGTCCTAACCTCCCCTTAGCTTTGACACAGCTGCAGGAGGCACAGGGTCCCTCTCTCAGGCCACCCCCACTACCCACAGCCCTGCAGTGCAGCCCCTGGGGAGAGGGGTGTGGTTCAGCGCAGTTGCACACAAGCAGGGAGCTTTGACTGCTGGGAGAGTGAAGCCGTCCTCCCCAGGGGAAGGCCAGCTTTTATTGGGTAGACTGTGCTAAGGCAATTAGGAGCTGCTGTTAAAGTGGTAGGGGGTGAAGTTCTCCCAAACCTGGGAGCTGCCTTGGTGCCAGGCAGGCCACGGGGCCTTGTTCTGCCCCGTGTTTCTCAGCTCCCTGCCTTTGCTTCTGCCACCTTTTCTTCCGGTCCCATGCTTGAGTGCATCCGCAGGACTTGGGCTTTCCCAATGTACTCTGGGGAAGGAGAGAGAGCAGTCAGGACAGGAGCAGCAGGAAGCAGACTCCTTCCCGCGGGACCCCCACACCATGTGTGAGAATGGACCAGAGGCTCAAGCTGGGTTTCTGTTCTCAGCTCTTCTGGAGACCTGGGACAAGTTGATTCCATCCTCAGAGCCTCATCATCCTCCCACCCCAACCAAGGCAGGGTACTCAGAACCCAATCAAGGCTCCATCAGGGACATCTGTCCTCTTCCCTCCCCTCCCACCCTGCCTCTGCCTTCAACCTAAGTCACTAGGAAGATTGCAGTCGGCCCCTCTCTGGTCTCCCTCACCCCTTTGTGCCCCTGCCCTCCAGTCCATGCTTACAGAGCAACCAGAGGGGGTACTCAGCCCTGCTTCTAACCCCCAGACACTTTCTGCCTGAAACCACACCTGTCTCATGGCATCTCTTACCATGCATCTCTTGGCCGGTTTGCTGTCCACCCACAAGCAGGTGGAGCTTTGCTAGTGGGCCCTCCCCGGGTCCAGGAGCCCTCCTTGTTGGGTGAGACTCAGTGGAATGAGTAGGCTCCTTGGGCAGGGGCCCATTGCCAAGTGGCCAAGGAATCCAGTTACAACAGTCCTCAGGGAGCCCAAAGGGTGAGCCCCTGTGCGGAGTCTTACCTGGCTTTTCGCTTTTTGGTAGAGGTGGCGTCTTCATCTTCTTTAAAGACTGACTAAAACCAAAGAGAAAGTGGAGGCCTGAAATGTCAAGCTGGAAAGCCACTGCCACCGGGGGTGTGTGTGTGGCAGGGGAATGGGGATGGTGGTGCAGGTGCTGTCCATAAGCAAGAGCTCCCTGCATCCTACTCCCTGGACAGCCAGCATGCTGTTGTCTATGGTTGAACGCTAGGGGCCTCCCTGTGTCACCCTGACAGGATCTAGCCTATGGACTGCATTGGCTGTCGCCCACCCTTCTCCCCAGGAAGTAAGGTCCTTAAGCTGTTCCCGCAGCTGTAGAGAATGGCCAAAGCCACAGCCTCTTGCTTACCCCACTGGCTTCTGGCAGACAGGGGGAGAACATGCCCACCTCTTACACAGCCATGGGCAATGCTCCCCTCTGTTGAATTTGGGTTCTGTATTTCCCCGATGCCTTTTTTTTTTTTTAAAAAAAAAAGGATTTATTTTTATCTGAAAGTCAGATTTCCAGAGAGAAGGAGATACAGGGAGGAAGATCTTCCCTCTGCTGGTTCATTCCCTAAATAGCTGCAATGGCTGGAGCTGAGCCAATCCTAAGCCAGCAGCCAGGAGCTTCTTCTGGGTCTCCCACGTGAGTGCACAGTCCCAAGGCTTTGGACCATCCTCGATTGTTTTCCCAGGTCAAAGCAGAGAGCTGGGTGGGAAGTGGAGCAACTGGGACATGAACTGGCACCCATATGGGATCCCAGCAAGTGCAAGGAGAGGATTTAGCCGCTAGGCCATCACCCTTAGCCCTCCTCTATCCCTTTTACATCTCCCCCTTCTCAGAGGCCATTTTCCCCATCAAAGTCTCTTAGAGGGGGATTTGAGGCAAGGTAAAACAGAGGCTTAGCTGGGGTCACAATGATGCTGCCTTTCTCTCCATGCCATTCTTCCTCTGGTCACTCAGAGTGACAGACAGACAAGTGCAAGGTCAGAGGGAGAGCCTGTGCTTTTGGCAAAACTAAGCTCTCCTCCCTGACTCCCCTTCTCACCCAGCCTATGCATTTCTCATGGTTCCAACCACCTGAGACTTCACACTCCCTGATGTGTGTGCCTTCCTGTCTGCCACACCCTCAACCTCCTCCCGTCCTCCCCAAGTTGTCAGAAGTCTCAGGCCAGCTGCTGATAATGCAGAGTCCCTGCTTGCCCCCTCCTCTACAGAGCTAGGCTCAATGGAATCTGAATTTGCAGCAAGCCCCCAACTGAGCAGGTGGTTTGAACACTCCTCTCCAAGCCTCTGTGTCCTCCTCTGTCAGATGGAGGTGGTACTGCCTCTGTGGGAGATCACAAGGCCTAGACATATGCAAAGTCCCCAGTAAGTTCACACCAACACAGCGGCTGCTTGGTGCTACCAGCTGTGCAAATTGCAGACTCAGGTTCCCCAATTTACCATCAATCTCTTTCTCCCCTACCTTCCTCGGCAATCAATATTAGTGTGAAAATCCTCGGCCCGCCTCATGTAGCATTCCTTCTCTACCTGTGTCCTCCCATCCACCACAAGTGTCTCAGAGGGAACTTATCCAGTAGTCTTGCCACCATGGGCATGGCAGGTGGCCAGTCTGATGGGCAGTGTGGGCACTCACACAACATGGGCACAACAGGAAGATCCCTGGACAAAGCTCTGTCAACCCTAGCTCTGGCCAACGTCATCTCCTTTCTCTGGGCCCCAGTGGCATCCCCTGGGTGGACATGGGAGGGAGTAGTTCCAAGAGGAGGCCGGCAGCTGAGGGTCATAGAGCCCACCTGGAGTGCGGCAGCTGCTGCTTCTCCTGAGGTGGTGGCTCCTGGACTTCTTGCAGCTGGTGCAGCAGTTTTTCTGCCGGAATGGAGACCAGAGGCTGAGGGAGGAGCTGGGCCACTGCCGTCTGCAGCAGTCCTAGAGCCAGGTCTTTCTCTGAAAGCAGAACCCCAGGCAGAGTTCTCAGCTGCCTCTTGGACAGCAGTAAAGGTGAGGCAGCAGAGTCTCCAGCTCTGGCCCAAGCCAGGCTAAGCACAGCTTTCTCTAAGCATCCCAAATTCTGTCCATTTGCTCTCCTGGTACATGTGTGCAAGTTGTCCCTCTCCTATTGCACAAATACTTGTGTGCCTTTTCTTCAGCCCCATCCTGCCCACCACACACCCCTTGGCCATCTCTGGGAAGTCTGTTGGGGATGGGCTCTCCTCTTCCTCTCTCCCTTCACTCCCTTCCTCCTCCTCTCTCCCCTCTGCCTTCTCCAGTTAGTTTCCTGGCTGTCTCCACTCTTCCCCTTCACTCCACTCAGTGTCCCAACGTGCGCCTGCTTGTGTTTTCATGTACATCCCCGTGTCTGTCTGGACCACGTGTATCTGTGCATTTTCCACTATGGTTTGAGCAGGGCCAGTACAGAGGAAGGGTCCCCTCCAATGAGCAGGATGCATCCTTTGCCAAAGACTCATGGAGAGGAAAGCAGTATTGTTGTCCAGCTGAAAAGGCCTATTTCAAGGCCTCTCGCCTCTCCCAAAAGAGGACACTGAGCCATATCTGACTCCACAGAGCCAGGGAACAAGGGCTGGATGTTGGCAGTCCCTGTGCGGAAAGGAGACCATGCAGTTGTGTCCTCACCCTTGGGGGGAGCGTAGAGTAGCCAGAACTGGATAGCGCTCAGTGAGTCTGTCTGCAAGATCTGACAAAGCAGCTCCAGGACCTACAGGCAGGGGGACAGAGGACAGACTGGGTCAGTGAGACCAGATGGTGAGTGTTCCAGCTGGGAGCAAAGGCCTACATGGGCTCCAGGGGCGCTGAAGGGCCCATCCCTCACAGGTGACACCCCAGAGCCACAGGCTGGCTAGGCAAATTCCTCCCAACAGGGCCTCAGCCTCCCCCTGTGCATGGTATTTTGCACTCAACAGAGGGCTTTGCTGCATAGCAGTCCTTTAGGAAGATTCTCCACTTCTCCTTGGACAAGGAGGAATCTGGCCTTTGAGCAAAGATGCCCAACAGGGAGACAGTAGGTCCTTCATCCCTGGAGCTGTTTGGGTTAGCTATCTCCCAGGACCTCTCTGGGGGAAGGTGGTCAGAGCTGGCCAATCATCCCCACCCCCTGTCCTGACACTCCCGAGACACACACCAAGTCTCAAGTGACTGGGTCCTTGTGGAAATTTCAGGAACCCCTCGGGACTCCCTACCCTGGAGTGCCCAGAACCTGGCAATGTCAGCCAAGAGGCAGGGACACCCCAGTGGGCAGCCTGGAGCTCAGGGCGGGCAGCTCCCACTGCCAACAGCTGCGTGTGGGGCTCCCTCCTGTCCTCTTGGCGCCTGGCCGTATCCTTCTCATCCTCTGACGTCTTGGCCACTGCAAGCCTCAACTTCCCCTGCGCTCTCCAGTCAAGCAGCATCAGGAAAAGGTCCAGCTCCATCTCAGGTGGGTTATGGGGGCTCCCTAGGCCAGGCTTCTTAGGGCACCTGTGGCGGACTGAAGTTGGGGCCCATGGTGGAAGGAACCCCCTGGAGTCCTAGGAAAGCAGGACCCTCTCAGTGCTTGGCAATCAGTCCCCCCAAGGGGCTTGGCTGACCCCAGCAGGGTTCTGACTCCTTGGAAGAGCCAGAGCTGGATCTGGCATCTCCCCAGGCCTCTGCCTGCTTGGGTGTCCACACTCAACCCCCAGGTATCCACCTGTTACAGGAATCCCCCCACCCTGATTGGCCCCATACCCTTCTCCATTCTCTGCATCTGATTTACCTGCCCTGTGCCCCCTCCCCACAGGACCTAAGAACCTAATTCCTGGTGAAGTGAGGCTGTCCTATGTTGGAGAAAGCACTGCATTATAGCCCCTGGCTGTGCTCTTCTTTCTCTGGGCTTGGTGGGAACATCACCTGGCAGGGCCTCATCCTCCCCATCTGTGATCTGTGGAATGGGCCTCCCATCTCTGTTCCCTGGAGAGTTCACTAATGCCTAACAGCATGGCTCCTAAGAGGCTACAGAGTTGCTCACCATTCCTGGAGGACCAACTGGAGCAAGGCATGGGCTTGTCTCATGCCTAGAGTAGGTGGGCTGTGTGCTGTGCTGAAGCAAGGGTCCAACTCTTCTGAGGGTATGAGAAGCCAGGCTTGCAGGGTGTAGCAGCCTGCATCTCCCTACACCTGGACCCCAAATGCCAGGCAGATCTATGATGGTATTATACACAAGCTTCCAGTGTGGACAGGTTGTAGGATGAAAGCTGCAACAAGTTCACACCAATGTGGGCTGGGGTTTGCTGTCTCCCCGCGAGTTTCTGGTACCTGTCCCTCCTCTGGAGGAGCACCTGCTGATGTGATGCATTTGGGAGTCAGGGAGCAAGACAAGTGCTAAGCTCACCAGCAGATCTTGATCCTGCAGGAGGAAGCTCTGTCTTCCTCCATCTCTGCCCACAGGACGGCTCCGCTGGCGGGAGCTGCGACGGCCAACAGCACGCACGGAAGCCGGGATGAGCCTCCCAGTGTCAGCTGAATACATGGCCCCCTGTTCCCGCAGAGGCTCTTCCTTCTGCTGGGACACAAGCAACTGGACACTCCAGGCAGTGAGCAAGAGGGGAGGGAGGAGGTGGGAAGGAGGCTGGGTCACACAGCCAGGGCATCGTTGAACCTCAGCCCCATGGCAGTGCCAAGCACCTAGGAAATCATTCAGCACCCCCTTTGCTAAGTCCCTTCTTTAGCACCCCTGTCTGGCCACTCTCCACCCCCTTATACTGTAGCAAGCATGCTGAAAACAAACAATTTCAACTCTCCAGGGTTCTTCCTTCTTGAACCCTGTTTCCACATGCTCCCTGGTAGGTACTCCTTTCAGCCCTTCCTCCTTTCCATCAAGAGATGTAAAAATCAGCACCCTACACCAAAGGCCTGCCTCTGACCTTCATTCCTAGCTCTGCAGCCCCAGTCCTGCCTCAGGGCACAAGCTTGAAGCCTCCTGACCTTGCAGTTCTACTCAAGACTGGTGAGATCCTTTCTCCCATGTTAAAGACAGGAAAACTGAAACTCAGTGGGTGCACAGTGAGCTGCAACAGGGATGAGAAGCCTGGCCTCTGCCTCTCCACTCTGCTTGCCCAAGACCCAAAGCATGAGCAGACTCTGGAGCAAAGGGCCAGGCCTGTCCCAGTGCCAACTCGAAGCCTCTTCAAGCTCCGTCCCTATGGTCTTGGTGGTTTGACCAAACAGGCCACGCCCATCCCCTCATCATGGATGAAACTCTTGAGTGATTCTGCACTCCTTGTGAGATCAGATACTAAGCTAAACTGATACATTAAAAGCAGGCACTTTTTCCTTACATTCAAAGCCAGCACCTTCCTGCCTTCTCCCTAGCAGGCCCACAGATGTCCTGTGTTTGGGGCTCCAGAGCCATTGTGCCTCCCCACCCACCTACAAAACTCCCCCAACCTTGCATCTTGCCACTTCTCCATGACCTCTCCCTGGTTCCTCCATCTGAAGGTGTACCTGCTCTCCTATGCACCCTGGACATGACCCTCCTCCAGGTGTTGCCACTTGTCAGCCCCCTCCATTCCAGGGCAACAGTAGAGTTTTGAAGGTCCCAGCATGGGAGGGCTTGGTGAGCAAGGGGGCACACCTACCTCTTTGGTCTTCAGCTCATTCTCCTTGGTGAAAGTGGCCACCCGGGAAGATAGCTCCTTCAGCTCCCTCTTCCAGGCCTCTGGGAGGAGGAGACAAGATCCTGCCAATGGAATCTAGAGCCCTGCTCCCTTGCCTGTAGCATCAGGGCTAGAGGGTCAGGGCTAGGTAGGGCAGACTCCCCCCATTCCTGGCCTGCCCTAGCAAAAGGGGAATGGTGTCCTTGAGGGAGAAGAATTAGGAATCATACAGCTTCTCTCCAGGAGGGTTTGAACCATTGTCCTGCCTGTGGTATTACCCACGAGGCACTAGCAAGAACTCAGCTATCTGTGCCATGGTTCACGTGGCTTACTCTAGCTTCACCCCTCTCAGGTACCTAAAGTCAGGTCTGAAATTCAAACACTAGGCCCACATGAGTCATCAAGCTCCTAACCTACTTCCTGGAGAAGCTGGCAAAGGGCCCTGAAGACAGCCTTCCAAACTCAGCCCTGCACTGGCTGCCCAACCCCTTCCCTGGCATCTGTCCTGTCCCTATCCCCACTGAGAGAGAGACAGGTAAAGTCTCCAGAAGACTGTGCCAGCCTTTGGCTAACTGACCCATTGGCCAGCTCCCTAGCATGTGACTTAATTAAACATGTAAACCTCATTTCTGTCTAACTGGAAGTCATGACTCTTGCCAAAATTGACTTGTCCCCTTCTAATTACCTGCTTGCTATTACCCCCCGCCCCCCCCAAGCACTTGCAGTCCCAACAGGGTTGGGTTTGTGGATGGGGTTGAGGGTGGGAACAATGGGAGTGTTGTCTTCAGGCCTCCCCCTCCCATGAGGGCCTTTCCCTCGTCGGGGCTCCCAGCACCTGCCATGTGGGGCAGATGTTAGGAAGAGGGGTGAGTCCCATAGTGGTGGAGCTCAAGTACCCACCAGAAGGAAGCTGGGGGTTCCGGTTGGACTGGGGGTCTCCAATGGGGGCAGAGATGGTGGGCATCCCCAGCAGACAGTGAGATACGGGCATGGACTCAGGCAAGGGCATCTGAGAGAACTCGTCTTTGACGACACAAACAGGCTTCCCAGTGAGATCTGCAAAGGGTGACAGGTTGTGGAATGAGAAGCATGGGCAATCAGGAGCTCCAGGAGGCTGGAAAAATGTCGGGGATAGGGAGTGAGGACAGAGCCCTGGCTCCACTTCCTCCTATCACCACCACCAGCCCAGAGATGGTCAGAGCAAGCCACTCTAACCACCTGGACCAGCCATCACAACACCCAAGGGAAACTGAGAATGGAAGTACCTGCTTGGGGGTCACACAAGGACTTGTCCCTTTGCTTCCTGAGGTCCTGCAGGTTTCCCAGGACAGGACAATGAATTGCACACTGGAGCATACCTGTGAGCACTTAAGCAGCCAAGGACCAGACTGTTGGGTCAGAAAGTCCCAGTGTGTGACAGCAGGGACCTGGTCTGGCAGCCCCAGGGCCGAGGGCCCTTGCGCCCAGAGTCTTTCTGGGTAACAGGTGATTCTGGATGATTAATCTGTGAGCAAGTAGGTCCTTCCTGAAATTCTTGCTGGGGGACCCAGGGCCCCCCTCTGCCAGCCTCTCCTAGCTCAATGGTCTCTGCACATAATGTTGGCTATCTGGGCCTGGCCTGTGGGCCAGGTTTCCTCTCTTGAATCCCCAAGGACCCTGTCTGATCCCCTGCAGGTACACCACAAGAAACATCACCACTCCTGGAGGGACTCTCACAAAGTTCTTGGAAAATGTAATTCAAGGTATGAGCTTAGGGAACAGCTTTGTGGCTTGGGAGGTTCAGCCACCACTTATTATGCTGGCATCCCACATTGAAGCACCAGTTTGAGTCCTGGTTGCTCTGCTTCTGATGTAGCTCCCTTGTAGCTCTCTGTTAATGCACCCTACCATGCATGTGGAAGATCTGGATGGAGTTTCTGTCCTCTGGGTCAGCATGACCCTGTCCTGGCTGTTGTAGCTATTGATCCCCCTTCTCCCCTTTTCCATCTCCTTCCCTGCCACTCTGCCTTTCAGATAAATCTTTAAAGTATGACTTTCTCTTGGTGCAAATTTTTTTTTAATTCCTTGCATAGTTTTTTTTTTTTTGGTTTTTTTTTTTTGCTTTGCTTTTACAATATGCACTTTCTACATATTATACGAGGGGTTTTTTTGGACCAAAACGAACTCATGCTTTTTAAAAAACTATTTATGTGAGAGGCAGAGAGAAAAAAAGAAGTGTGAGAGTGAACGTCATCATTGATTTACTCTCCAGCTGGGGCTGGGTCAGGCTGAAGAAACTGGGAGCGGAGGTCCCAGTCCTGGTCTCCCATGTGGGTGGCAGAGTCCCAACGACCTGTGCCGTCACTGCTGCCCATCTGGGTGTGCCCTGGAGGAAGCAGCAGTCAGGAACTGGCACCAGAAATCAAGCTGTATGTAAGATGAGAGTTCTTTGATGTTGGATGCAGCAATTTAACTACCAGGTTAAATGCCTGGCCCAACTCTTAACTTTTAATTCTGTTTTATGAACTTCTAGAATTTTATTTCTGTCTTTTCCCCAAATCTCAGTACCTGTAAAAGGCATCTCACCTTTCATATCTCCACATCCTGATGCCACTCCTTCCCCCACCCCTTATCTTGCCCTGGTGTAGTGGAGGCTTCTTGGTCTTGTCAGACTCAGTTCCAGTGGCCTTAGTCAAGAGCCTGGCAGAGCAGCCTGGGCCCTGGGCTCTGCATGTTGAATCAGTCGCTGTGTGCTGTGCGCTTTAGCTCCTAAGCAGGGTCTGGACCAAGGTCACAGCCTCTCCCACTGCTTTCAGAGTTGGAGCCCAGAGGCTGAGTTATCTTATTCAAATATCTCCCTTCTGTCACTTCCATGCTCACGACCACCTAGTGGCTCCATCTGACTCAGGGAGGTGCCTTCCTGGTGACAACAGCAGCCCGTGAAGCCCCTTGACTGGGCCCAGTTGCCTCCCAATGTTGTCTGCTTTCCACCTCTCCTCTCTCTTTGCCCCTGTTCTGGCCTCAGCGTCTTCACATTGCTGATGATTGGCCCGGATCTTTGTCCCCGAGTGTACACATAGTTCCTGCATTCTCTTAGGTTAAGTCTTTGCTTCAATGTCACACCATTGGTTGCGTCTTTCCACTGACCACTTGTTAAGAACAGTGATTCCCCACTTCTGCACTCTTGGCCCCAACACCTAATGTATTTCCCTTGGGAGACCAGCTCTCACAGGGCAGCAATGTGTGTGTCCTGTTCTCTGTCACCCCCAGGGCATGGCACCCTCAGTGAACACTGGCTGGGTGGCTGGGCCCATAGACAGAAGGCCTAGGTTCCAGAATAGAGCAGAGCTGGTGTGTAACAAGGGAGAGAATTCCTGTAGTGAGGGGAAGCCATGATCTGCCCTTGGAGCCTGTGCCTTTTCCCCTGACCCCTGACGTGGAGTCCTGTCTGACTACCTGGTGGCTCTGCATCCTTGGTCAGGCCCCATACTCTCTGGCCTCAGCCTGGGAGTGACGGCTGTGCTTGCTACTTCCTTTTCAGTTCTCAGCAGCAATTCTTGATAGCCCCATGCCCAGCCCCCACCCAGCCAGGCCCAGGCTAACCCGGTCCTACCTTGGATGTGGGTCACGTGCTGGGGATGAGGGTGGTGTCGGGAGAAGAAGGAATGGTGGCTCAGCTGGCCAAAACGGTAGGAGCCCGGGGTTTGGGGCTTGGAGGTTGTCACCGGCTCTGGGGTTAGCTCAAAATCCACGATGCCTGGGATCACCAGCTCTCTCTGCGGCCCTCCGTCCCCTTGGCTCTGGGGCCTGTGGCCTTTCTTCTCAGGTTTCAGCTCAGCCTTGGGACTGAAGGAAAGAGTTTAAAAGAGGGGCATGCAGTCTGCTCTGCTCCCTCTCCTCCCACCCCTCTGTTCCTCCTGCCTCCAACAGCAGTGCCAGCCTGCATTGGAGCGCCACGCTTTTCTCGCAGTCCAGACCCCTGCGAGTCTTGGTTTTGCTGGGCAGGGAGCTGGGAGCTACAACAGGAACTCTGGTAGAATTGCCAGGGCCCTGCTTGCTCCCATAGAGCACATCTAAAAGCAGAAACACAAGCACAGACCCACCTACTCCTCTGAACATCTGGCATGGGGCAACATACCCTTAAATAGGGCCCCTGGCCCCCAGCCAGGGCGTCCCCCAAGCCAAAGCATTGGCAGCTCTGCAGAAGCTAGCCACGGGTTGTCACCCTGCTGTTGCACGCTCCCAAGCTCAGCGTCCAGGGACCAGAGCTGGAGCCAAGGTCAGATCAAGCCAATAGGTCTCTTACCCCAGGGTCCCCTCCCAGGAGAAGCAGAGCCAAGGCTGTTAGCACCATGAGGCTACAGGTGAATGTCCAGCCCTGGCTGGATTCCCCCATAGAATACCCATCTCCATTGTTCTGTCCCCTCCCTTCACCCTGCCTTGTACCCTGGAGGAAGAGGTAGAGGCCAGTCCGCTTGAGCAAGGATGCAGTGGTGGGCTGCTCTTGCCCTGGGGCCTGATGGCACCACCTGCCTGGTGGCTTTTTGTACTCCCTTCTGGTGGCCCTGGCTGGAAAGAGCCCCTCTGCAGGAATACAGGTGGACTCTGGATATGCTAAGCAGGGCATGCTGCCCCTGGACCCTCTGAGGACTTCGCTGGCTGGCCCCCAGAGTTTCCTGCTCCAGTCTTGATTCGTCTCTAGAGAGTCTGGGACTTAAAGAAATAAAAGCAAATCTTCTCTGTAAATTGCACTTGGCTGGCTTCCCCTACCCCCAGCGAACAGAGCACACTGCTTCTAGAAAAGCCCCAGCACACCTGTGCCCTGTGCTTCTGCCCCATGTCCCTGCTTGAGTCCTCTGCCCTTCTCAGAGGGGTCTGCCCAGTTGGCAGGCAGGGCAAAGCAAGAAAGAATTATTTCTTTGGAGTCCCTTGTTGCTAAAATTCCCCATGGCCAGCCCCCCACATCTTCTACCTTGCTGGCTGACACCTCCCTACCCTCTGCTGTCCCCTCCCTTCCCCCCACCCCCCGCTGCCGCTATGTGCTGTCTCAGTTTATAGAGTAGGTATGGGGTCTCACCTTGGCAGCGGATGTTCAGCCAGCTGAGCCGTCACTTCCATAGCCATTGTAGGGTTTCTGTTGCTGTATGGCACAGCACAGGTAGCACTAGTGTTGAAGGCGTCAAACAGGAAGCAGATGCTTTGTGGGAACAAAGGGTGAGCGCTTGTAAAATCGAACGTCGGCATGCTGTATGCCAGGTATGAGAGAATCTTTTGCAGATAATGCACAGGATTTTTTTTTAATATTCCCACCAACTTGATTCAAGTACAGTAAACACTGTACAAACCAAATTCCCAACGGCAGTAGAGTATGTAAGTTGCAGTACCTTCAGACAATGTGCTCTTTAATTGCTATGAAAACACATAAACCACAGCTGCACACAGCCTCAGGGATGAATCCTACAAATACAATGTGAAGTCATGAGGGGTAATTTCCAGAGAATTACAAAGCATAAGAACCCAGCACGGTGGCTTGGTGACCATAGTCCTCATCTTAAACGCGCCAGGATCCCATACGGGTACCAGTTCTAATCCTGGCAGTCCCATTTCCCATCCCTACTTGTGGCCTGAGAAAGCAGTTGAGGATGGTCCAAAGCCTTGGGACCCTGCACCCACGTGGGTGACCCTGAAGAAATTCCTGGCTCCTGGCTTCGGATCGGCTCAGCTCCAGCCGTTGCGGTCACTTGGAGAGTGAACCATCAGACAGATCTTCCTCTCTGTCTCTCCTCCTCTGTGTATATCTGACTTTCCAATAAAAATAAATCAATCTTTTTAAAAATAGAAAAAAATTTAAAAAATAAAAGTTCAGGGGCTGGTGTGAGGTGCAGAACATTAAGCTGCCATCTGTGATGGTGGGGTGTAAGTTCAGATTCTCTGCTGCTCTGCTTCTGATCCACTAATGTGCCTGGGAAGGCAATAGAAGATGGCCCATGTACCTGGGCCCCTGCCATCCACATGGGAGACCTCATGGTTTCAACCTGATCCAGTGCTGAAATACATGAGAACCGAATGCAAGGGGGTCTCTGGCAGCCAGGTGGGAGACCCGGACTGAGTCCCTGGTTCCTGGCTTCGGCTTGGTTATTTGGGGTATTGTAGGTATTTGTAGGTGTGAATTCACAGATAGGAACCCTGTGTCTTCCTCTCTGCTTTTCAAATAAAACCTGTAAAAACAAACTACCCAAGAACTGTGGTCAATCTATTTATGTAACTGAAGTGCTAGGGATGGCATTGGGATAGGGAAAGGATGCACTTGGAGACTTAATCCCCAGAGTCACAGAATCTACAGGCCCACCCCCTTGCCCAGTGCCAGTCCGGGGAGGATGCGGTAGGTCACTTTTGTGGGAGATGAGGAAAGAGGAGATGCCTACTGAGGTTAAACAGCCAGGTCCCTTATCTTCCTCTAAAAGCAATCAGATGAGCTGCCTCCTCAACAAGCTTGGAGCATCCTTAAGAACAGTGCAGTCCTAGGGTATCTGATGCTACAGCCTTCTGGGTAGGGCATCTGCAATCCCCAAATCTGCCTGCTGACAGGAAAAGGCCTTTTTTTTTTTTTTTTAGAACAGAGACTTTCAAATGCTTTCATCTACTGCCACAATCATGATCTGGTTCACACATGTGTGTGCACTTGTGTGTAAATGTGACGCTGCGACAAGACAATCCTGATTGCAGAACTTACCTGTGGTACGTGGGGCTGATGCCTGACAAGGATCTGATAAGTCAGCCGTGAGTCACAGCCCGCAGCTTCTGTGTAGAGGTCAGCAGGACTCCAAATGCCAGGCCTGCCTCCTCCCCGGAGCAGGACAGACAGGTCTCCACTGCCCTCTGCCCCTGTCCTACCCCACCTCTGTCCCTGGGCCACCAGCCAGCCAGACACAAGGGTTCCCAAGGCTCCCACCAATCCAGCTCAGAACTTTCCCTCCCACGGTCACCTGTCTGGGCCTTCTCCTGGAGTTGGACCTGGTTCTGGGTTCTACGTCCTCCCAAGAAACCCTTGGACTTACCAAGGAGGGTGGCTTGTGGACAAGAAACCCCTGCTGCCAGGGGACAAACCAGGAGGCAGGCTTATGGGCTCTGTGGCAAGCCTGGCTGCTTTGTGATCCCACTGAGCTGGCGGTTGCTAAGTTACTTCTCCTTACAACCACAGGACTGTTCCCCGGCACCCCCTCTCCCTCACCCACTCACCTCCCCAGGTCTCTGTCCCCTCCTTGAGGGCAGGCAGGACATGCCAAGGGCCTCAGCTCCTTTTAAACGTCCTACCCCTGCCTCCCCAGCAGCACCTGTAGTAGGAATGAGGGGCAGGAGAAGGACGTAGGGCTGGATTCTCCCAGTGAGCAGCAGATGGATAGAGAGAACTGATCGAAGATGATTCTGGGGCTGGAGCCCAGCTTTGTCGGCACTGTGCCCTGTGCAGGGCTTGGCCTTCCTATGTTCTGTTCCTGCGGATGGATGTTCAGGGACTGTTTCCTAGAGAGGAGAACCCTCAACAGCATGGGAGTTCCCCTGGGCCCTGACATCTTTTAGATGCTATCACCTTCGTAAGCTGCTTGGACTGCCACAGACGCAGGATGGTGGTAAGAATCTTTGGTTCAAATCCCTGCCATTCTTCTTTACTGTGTGGCCTCAGACAACTCACTTGACCTCTGAATCCCAGTTCCTTTATCTTTGAAATGAAGATAGTATTTGCCCTTATTCTCACAGGATTAAAGGGCATATTAAGTGAGAGATTACACATCTTAGTGTTTAGAACTGTGCCTGGTACCAAGTAGGATCACTTGCTGATATCATCCCCTTTGGGGACTGGCATTGTGGAACAGTGAGTTAAGCTGCTGCTGGCAATACCAGTATCCTGTATGGGAGCACCAGTTTGGGTCCCAGTTGATCCAGTTCCAATCTGGTTTCTTGCTAATGTGCCTGGGAAAGCATCAGAAGTCTTTGAGCCTCTGCCACCCACATAGAGAGGTGGATGAAACTCCCAGGTCTTGGCTTCCTCTTGGCATAGTCCTAGATGTGGGCATTTGGAGAGTGGAAGAATGGATGGAAGAGTCTCTTTCTTTCTCTCTCCCTCTCCTTTTCTCCCCCTTACCCTCATCACTCTTCCCTTCAAAACAGTAAATACATTTTAAAAGTATTTTAAAAGTCTCCAAGGCATTCAGATGGAAATAGAGTCATTTGGAACTAGCACAGTGGCTCAACCAACTAGTCCTCTACCTACAAGCGCTGGCATCCCATATGGGCATTGATTTTTTTTCCTGGCTGCTCCGCTTCCCATCCAGCTCCCTGCTTATGGCCTGAGAAAAGAGCAAAAGGATGGCTCAAAACCTTGGACCCCTGCATGCTTGACGGACCAGGAGGCTCTTGGCTTTGGGTCAGCTCAGCTCTAGCTGTTGCAGCTATTTGGGGATTGAAGCAGTAGAAGGAAGATCTGTCTCTCATTCTCTCTGTTAATCTGCCTTTCAATGAAAATAAATAAATCTTAAATAAAGTAGTTCTGGGTTCCAGAAACAGGCCTAGAAAGGAAAAACAATTTGGAGCCAGTGTTCTGATCGCCCATTAAGCTGCCATCTGCAGTACTGCCATCCCATGTCAGAGTGCTGGTTCAAGTCCTGGCTGTTCCACTTCTGATTACATTATTTGTGATCATGTGCCTGGAAAAGGAGTGGATGCTGGCCCAAGTGCTTGGGTTCTTGTACCTAGGTGGGAGAGAGGAATGGAGTTCCTGGCTCCTGGCTTCAGTCTGGCCCAGTCCCAGCTGCTGTGGCTATTTGTGGAGTAAATCAGTGAATTAATGATCTCTCTCTTTTTTTCTCTCCCTCTATCTATTTGTCTCTCAAATGAGACATTACCTCCTCTGGGCCAGTAAAACAGGGTACTCTGCCTTACTTCTGGGTTGTTTGAAGGACAAGGGAAGTAAGGTGCCTGGTCGTGTGTCTGGTCCCATAAAGAAGCTCAAACAGGTGGATTGTGATCATTGTTCCTGCTGTGAACTTGATGGAATAGGATCACAAAGTCGGGTCCTTAGTCTGAGAGCTTTCTTGGGTAACTCGCTTTATTTCTTTGAAGCTCAACTTGAATGGCTGTCGGACAAGACAGGGCTTGTTCTTGACCCCTGTGGTGACTGACCTCAGAGGTCCGAGAGGTGCAAGCAGCTCTGCAAATGATGGAAAACTTTGCAGACAGTGCTTGGTGCTTGGTGCTTTGCTGGGAGGGAGGTTAGTGTTCTCCTAGCTGAGACTGCATCTCAGGGGTTGTCTCAGGCAGGGTCTCTGAGGTCAACATTCCTGGCTTTGAGACTGTCATATTCAGCTTCCGGGGTGGTAGGAAGCTAGACAGCAAAGCCAAACTCTAACAGAATTCTGTGCTTCCTGTCTGAGGGAGTTGGACTGTGGTGGACTGGCGAGGGTGGCCCCTCATTGGGACCTTGTGCCAGTGTCTGTCTATCCACAGGGGTCAGAATATGCCTTGTCTGTGCCTTCTGTGACTCGGCCCACCCTGGCTCCACAAGAAATAGGTGACCTTTGGAAGCCGTCCCTGAAACCTCCTCTTGCACGTCTCCAGGGGCCCTGGTGAGCATCCAGCTGCACAAAACTACGCTTGAAAGGAGAGAAGGCTTTCTGTCCCAGGGAACAGCTGCTTTCAGCATGTTTCGGGGTTTTTCTACAGTGTGAGCTGACATAGAAAAGAGGAAAAGCCATTCCCACCCTACCCCAGCTGCCTCAGAACTTGTCCACTATATCATTTTTTTTAATCTTTAAAAGTTTTATTATTATTATTTTTTGAAAGACAGACATCTTCCCTTTGCTGCCTCACTTCCAGATGCTAAGAGCCAGGAACTCTATTCAGGTGTCCCACAGAGCAACAGGGAACCAAGTCTTGGGCCATCACCAGTGGCCTCTTGGAGGCTGCATTAGCAAGAATCCAGAACAGATCCAAGCAAGACATGAACCCCTGAACTTCCGTAGGAGATGTGGGTGTCCCAACCAGCGTTGTAGCTGCTGTACTCAAGGCCTGCCTGCCCAGGCTGTTACTTAGAACTGGACACATAGTCTACATATGGAGTGCAGCTGGTA